TTTAAAAAAACATAAATAATCAAAGTAAAAGGTTTCTTTACAAGAGTTCCATTCTTTAAATTAGGCTTTCTCAGTAAAGTTTTTCATTTTATGCCCCTCAAAAATATCAAAATGAATTTTAATTCAAAAATTTAAAACATAAAAGGTGTATTCAAGTCATTGTATGTATGAATTGCATCATTTATTCATTTTCAAAGAACCATCAGCACTGCTGCATCCATATTTTTTTCTAAGCTCTTAAATTTGGGAATGTTTGGAAATAAATTTTATTAACATTTGGGGCCTAATGTTAATAACCAATTGAGATTATAGAAATAACAGGAGAAGATCTGAGAAAAGAAAAAAGAAGGAAAAAAGAAAGAAAGCACAATATGATGCACTATATACAGTATGCAAATATTATCTCTCCTAAAAAGAGTAGCGGGCAGCCCTAGCAGGGTGAAAGAGAAAGGATCTGACAGGCTCACTGCCAAAGATGGACAGGGTTTGTTCAACACCTCAGCGTGTGTGACATGTCTAACAGCGGCATGCTGATCTCTCCGATCCTCATTAACCTGCCACAGAGCAGAGAGGGGAAACACGGGGCACAGGGGCGCACAGCAATCACAGAACTCATTATGGCCCCTAAAAGAGTTGGTCAGAGCGAGTGTGCAAAAGAGAGAGCGAAACAGAGAATAGCCAAAGGAATGAGAGTGCTGGCTGGCATCTTTGGAAAATTAAAGAACAGCCTTTTGCTGAAGAGTTCTCTGTAAATGAGATATAAGTGGGATTCACACAATGCAGAAGACGTTCACAGCACCGCCGATTGTGGCCCCTGAATTTGATTCAAATCAACTGTCTGTTTTCCTCCCTGATAATATAAAATCAGTCATCCAATGCCCTCTCCAGGGACAACATGCCAGGCCCCGGGCCCTTTGACCAAAAGCTCATCTCAGAATATGACCTCCGGAGGGCCCACTCATAAACAGACGAAGGTAGAAGGGAGCATAATTGTGGAGGGGACAGTGGTTCAACACCGGGTCCCCAGGTTGAGAGGTCTTGAATCCAGAAACAGTCATTTTCTCTTCTTGGCTAGCATGAGCAGGAGGTAATTGTGCCCCCTGGGTGTGTCTTCTAGATGAATAACATGATCCAAAAAATGAGAGCCAAGTAGTACAAATACAAGTAGTCTTTGGACTTTGGCCTGCATTGAATAAAATCATATATGTAAAGTTGTCACAATAAAATATCATGAGGTGTAACCATCAAGAATAACATAATTACATATTTTCTTACACCTTGAATACATGTCTATTTTTGTTTCAAGGTGAAAAGTATTTTTACAAATATTTTGAATTAGTAATACATAAATATTACGTTTTACAACCTAAAAGAAACCTTTCTTTATAAAGTTCTGTGATATTTTAACCTCCTGAAACCCTGTGACCTCATATGAGGACATTATATTTTGGTGTATTTAAATTAAAACATTTTAATTCATGTCCGCATTCACAAAAATGAGAGGGACACCAACTTTAAGAGGCCTTTTTGCTTGCTTTGCAGTAAACTTTGGCATGTTTTATTTATTTATTTGTGCGAGCGAGTTTAGTGTCAAGTATTTGCGTCTAGTCGCCTCTTTTAACCGTAGGTACCTCCAAGATAAAGTGCGAAGAGATTAAAATGCTTCACCGCTTGTCGTTAAAGCTCCTGAGGTAATTGTTTTGGACAGTTCTATCTCTCTGGGACAAAGACCCTCGGTGATGAGGGGGACGGACAACTGCGAAAGCCGCGGGAAAATATTGCGCGGGGAGTTGTGGGCAAGCACCAGTAATGAATCTGCCAACAGACCTTGTGAAAAAAAAAAAAATGAATCTGAGGGGATATGACCGAATCCGACTCCCCCTTATTCATTAAAACCTACCTTAAAACATCAATTCATTGCAGAGGTTTGACGAGGGTCGGGACTGACAGAGATGTTTAAGTTGGTTGCGGCGGCGGAAGCGGATGTGACAGGTTCAGGTGTATTTATACACGCCAAGCTCGCAACTCACTGTCAGGGCTGTCATCTGTCAGGATGGAACGACAACAGCTTCGCGGGCTTATTGTTGTTGTTGTTGTTTTGTAGATGTCATTATTTTATCACTTTGAGCAGGAGTCCAGGATTCATCAGGAAATCATTTTTAAAATGCACATACTAGGAAGAAGAGCAATAAGACGGCATTATAAAATGAAAAAGTGCGCTTTGATTTTGAATGGCGAAGACATGCTCAACCACAGACATTCACATGGTTCGTTTTGAAGTATTAGCAAAACAACAAAGCTAATGCTTTTCACGGAACTTACGTAATTACCCATTATACATTGTGATATAGCCTGGTTCGTTGGTCCGTTAGATCGGATTGCTTTCTCACTACAACCGAACCGCTCCAGAGTTCGTTTTCAATCGAGCCGAGGCCCCCTCCTTCAGGCGATCTTGGATCGATTGTTTTGGCGCGGATCCGAGCGCGATTGCAGTGTTCACATATGCCCAAACGAACCGAGCTAAGGGGGGAAACGCGCCAGGTTCCGAAACAACGGGCCAGGTGTGATTTATAAGTTGCGTCAAACTTTAAAGATAGATCCGCGCTGATGAGTCGCTTCACTTCATCAAACTCCACCATCTCTCTGAGCATCTCAGGTGTCTGTTTGCCTTTTCCAATTATAAAGGTGTGACAATAGACCGAACGAATGTATTGTAATTCTTTCATGCAAGAATGACTGTAAACGGAGAAAACGAGGTTTGATCAAAATGTGCCAATTTGATTCATGTTTATTTCAAATGTACAGTTATCTGAGCTCCCGTGTCTTATTCATAAAACAGTGATTTATTTTTCAATCTCAGCACTGTTGTTTCAGCTATCTGGGATAAGCTTTTGGATAAGTCCCACAGTTCCCTGTGGTGAGCGCTTCTTCCATAATGTGACAGCTTTCAAGAACTGAAGCAACACTGCTCTCTGGCGGTTGCTTTCTATATTTATGCATTAACCAAATTAAATGCATAACTCTATTGTAAATGTATGCTTACCTTTTGCACAAATTCATATTTAATTAAAACATTCTTATTCTCTGAACAATATCACAATATATGTATATATATATATATAGATATAGATATAGATATAGAGATATATAGATATATATAGATATGAGACACAATGTTACTATGTCATATGTTATATATATTTGATATATTTTTTATAATAATTATATTATTATATTATGTCTGTCAGTGATAAACCACTTCTAAATCATCTGATATTGTACTTCATCATTATAGACATTATGGTGACTCTGAAAATTTGGGACATCTGAATGGTTCTAAAATGTTTCAGGGATGCTTATTAAATAGTCTGCAGCTGACCAGAGAAATAGTGAGTGACATTTCTTTTTTTCCTTTCACATGAGAAAGTTGAGATCACAAGAAACTTTGTTCTGTTCAGGTCACATACTTATTTTTGAGGTGGCTGAGTCAGTCGTAAACAACAGGTCCAAGTTTCTACATTGTTGGCCATATCAGTGTATTCTGACAAAAATTTGCAAGCAGCATTTAAATCACAAATATTTCATTATATTATAGTAGATTTTTTACTAATTCTTTTTGGAGCTACTGCCATTGAGATAAATGGGAATGTTAATGGATATAATAAAGCATTCTGCATTAGTTCAGGCAGGCCTTCACTATCAGCTGAAAAAAAAAAGTTTCAAACCCAGCCCATATCAGCTGATCCAATTTATATGCACCCAGTTGGCAAACAGGGCGCCTTATTTAAACACCATTTCAGTCAGCCTGCTTTGCTGCTTCCAATGCACACTGCTTTACAACCTACCTCCTCCCCAGTTCCTCCTTTAACTTGTGTCTGTTGTCATTGTTGCATGCTCTGTTCTCGGGGGGATTTCTGTGTAGCTCTCCCAGTCTTAAATTGGGATGGCTACCCCTACAAGCTGCTGCTATTTCCCTGTCATAACTTTTCATGGAGCTCATGAAAAGGATTGGAATTTAGAGCAGAGCCATACAGCCAAATGTAAATTCAGCAAAACATGCCAATAAAAAGTTGACTTAAAAGTTTGTCTATAGTATTTAGTATAGTATTTTATTTACTAAAGTGTTACATTTTACATGAAGGTTTGTGAAATAGTTTATGAAGCTGGTTGAAGAGTACAGCACCTTCATCAATTTTTTTCACTAATGACTTTTCAAACAAGAGGATTTGACTGCACTGAAGGAGTGCACAAACTGAAATCTCATAATTTAGTATGATTGATTTATTTAGTTTTTTTTTATTATTATGAATGTTATTATTTTGTTTAGTTCAATTAAATTTCTGCAGTCAAAAACAACAAATAATAAAAAGGCAAAAGAAAATATATATATTTAAAAAGCATAACATAAAATCTAGAGCCAAGAAAAATATATAATGAAAGAAAATAAATCAATATATAAACATAACAAAACATTACCAAAAAACTGGTGGATAGGCTGTTTCTCCACTTCTTCTGTTTCTGTAGTTTCAACAATTGTAGTGCTTAATCAAAATGTTCACCAGTCTGAATATGACTTTTTAAACATTCTTAAAAAAATAGTTCATTCGAATTATTGAATAACAATTCAGTTGTCACATATTTTTTTCTTCTCCACAAAAGGAGAAGTTTAGCAGAATGTTGGGGTTGCTCATTTCCATACAATGAACGTGAATGGTAACTAGGAGCTTTTCAAAGCTGTGGCTGTCAGTAGAAAAAAACTGAAAAATCTCCACCTTTAAAAGCAATTTGAAATAGTGATAATAAAGACAAATTCAGCATATGTTAAAATTATCATTGATATTTTTGTAAAATCTTTTCTGTGAACCCTCTAGCACCCCCTTGTGGCCCCCTGGGTACATTTAATTATTTGTTTAAAGAACATTTGATTGTACTTTTGATTATACTCTCTTATATGTAAAATATGTCAAATATCCTCATAAATCTCTTTTTGTGGTATATGGGAGCAGAAAACTATACATGCAGAATAAGGGGGAGCAAATGATGACAGAAAACATTACTTTGAACATTAGGAAAGAATCATTGTCATGTATACATAACTCTACACACATTCCTCTCGCAGTGAGAATGGCTGATTTTCTGTGTCCCTGGCTGATTCTCTGCTGACTGATGGAATGAGCAGGAGAAGTAGGCCAGTGAGCAGGCAGAGGAAGGCAGCAGTGGGAGCCAGCATAAAAGACGGACCATAGTGCACACTGAGCTGCAGACTGGGGCACACTAAGCGTCTGCGCTGGAGGCCGTACCGCTCTAAAGAGTCTGAGACCTGCACCCACACAGCAAACAACAGCACTACACACATGAGTAAGATGCCTGTATGGAAAAGAAGAGAAAAAGAGTGAATGTTAAAGCAAAGTCACTATAGAATCACTGGAAACTGAATGTTTTGGCAACTTTTTCTCTCACCCCCAGTTATAAAGAGAGCACCTTCAGTCTCATAAAGGCGATGTCTGGTCCCTGGGGTTGCACAGATTGTGACAAACCCACCAATCAACACCAAGATGACGCCCAGCACAAATATAACACACCAAAAGGCCCTTTGCACTAACAATGGAAAATCAAGTTATGTTATTTTGACAACATAGTAAACTAGATATGTACATTTTCTGAAGAAAATGTGAGTGGTGCTTGCCGTGGCAACACTCAGCACTGGGCAGTTAGTAGGGTCTTTTTTATCATATTTTATCAATTAGCTAGGATTTTTAACATGTTTTAACACTTAGCAAACCGCTGTTAACATGTACTGTTGCTATTCGCTACAAATGATGCTATAAACTAGCATGTGTAGCATGTTGGAAGTCCTGTTTGCTAGCATGAGTCAAAAGAACCAAGTCCCATGTCTATACAATGTTTTGATCCAGAGATATAGATATTGCTAAACGGTTGCTAGGGTAGTCTGTTTGGTTGTTAGGGAGTGGCTTGTCAGCTGCCAATGGTGATACTCCAAAGGCTGCTTGCCAGTATGAATGATATAAAACAACCCCCCATGCCTCTATGACATTCAGATTTAAAGATATGCCTCTTTGGGTTTGGGTTGCTAGGGTGCTCGACAGTGGTTGCTAGGGTGTGGCTAGGAAGTGTCAACAGTGATCTGTTTGCTTCCCTGAATTAAATGAGCCAGCTCTCATGTCTCTATGACACTGTGATGCAAAGATATTTATAATGCTTTTTATAATGCAGTCTACAGTATGTGTTCAGTTGCTAGGGTGCTCTAAATGGTTGCTAGAGCGTGGCTTGATAGCTTCATGATGTTCCTAAGAGACTGATTGGTTGCCTGAGTAAATGAGCCCACCACACCCATGTCTCTATGACATAGCGATCCAGAGTTATGTTCAATACAAAATTCCTAGGCAAGTTGCCATAGTAGGAAAAACATGGGTGCTCAGTTCCTTCACCATAGTATGTCTATGGGGCAAATTCAGGCGGCTCTTGCACTCCAGGGGTACAACTTATACCTCGTTGCAAGGTATGTTCTTGCTCAGCTTGCCAGCCTCTTCAAAGTGACCCACATGTTTGTATGAAACCCTCACTCGGAGCTATGACCTGTCAAATTTGGTCGCAATGTTACGTCTATGGGATTTTTCACACAATTTTTTTTCGCCCGTTATACAAACATTGGACGCCTGATCGCTTATAAAAGTCATTGCATACCTATCCCCAATAAGCAACACAATTTGACACCTCTTTCATGGGTCTTTGACAAACTGACAAGTTATGAAGTTTGTACGGAAGAAAAAAAAAAGCCACAGCATAGTAATATGCTTCACAAGCACCACTAATGAGAAAAAAGTCCATGATATTGGGAACATAATGTCGAGCAAACTGCTCCTCAAGATCTCACCTGTGGCAGAGTCTGAGGTTAGAACACTATTGGGAAGTCCAGAAACTGGAGCATGGGACAAGTAGGCTGGCTCGCAAACCTTCTAAGGGAAGGTTGATTGACTGGGGAAAAATTAAGTACTATGTTTTACAAGAAAGAGCAAACACTCAAGTGTTGTGGTTCCTCTGCAGAAAAGAAGTCAAGTTAATTTAAATAAATGTAAGTATCTTTAGAAAAGAGGAAGAGAAGAGCAGATGTGCCAAGTCTTTTTTTTAAAGGGGTGGTTCACAGTTTTTTTTTCTAGGCTTGATTGTGTTTATGGGGTGCAGTCTAACATGTGTTAATGCTTCGTTTTTTTAAAAACACATTATTTTTCACATAATTTACATTTATTCCACACCGCTCTGTCCCTTCTCTGAGAAACATGCTGATCATTTCCTTCTTTTATGAAGCCACTCCCTCAGAAATAGGCGATGGGCTCTGGTTGGTTAGCTAGCCCATTGTGTTGTGATTGGCTCATCCGTCTCTAGTGCGCGTCTAAACGTCCCGCCCCTCACCTCAGCCGCATGTGCTCCGGTTGTATTGTAAACAAGGCGTTGTTAATATCGCTTATCAGTTTGAGCCCGATTGAGAAGCAGAGGATATTATTGAAGAGGATCGTGCAGAACCTGTGCAAGCACGGCTTTTAATGGTAGGCCTATGTTTTTTGCTTGTTGTTGTTTTCCAGAGGGCGGGGTTTATCTGGGTTTGTTACGTCACGAACCCGGGAAGTAACTTGTTGTAGTCCCTACCATTTTTGTAGGCATTAAACTGCCAGAATTTTAAAAGACGATATCTCCGTTTGCATTGAACTTTCAGTTTCTTAACTTTGCAGATATGTTTATGCTCAAACAGCAACATTACACACTAACTAACGTTAAAAAAGTGAAATCGCAATGAACCACCCCTTTAAGTATACAGTGCATTCAGAAAGTATTCAGAACCCTTCTTTTTCACATTTGCCTATGTTGCAGCCTTGTTCTAAAATACTTTCATTTTTTTCAAATAGAATTTCAAAAGAAGTTTGGAACAACAAGGACTCTTAACTTTCAGCTTCTTAACTTTGCAGATATGTTTATGCTCAAACAGCAACATTACACACTAACTAACGTTAAAAAAGTGAAATCGCAATGAACCACCCCTTTAAGTATACAGTGCATTCAGAAAGTATTCAGAACCCTTCTTTTTCACATTTGCCTATGTTGCAGCCTTGTTCTAAAATACTTTCATTTTTTTCAAATATGAAAGAAGTGGAAGAAGTTTGGAACAACAAGGACTCTTCATAGAGCTGGCCACCTGACCAAACTGAGCATACAGGCCTTGGTAAGAGAGTTGACCAAGAACCTGATGGTCACTCTGGTTAAGCTCCAGAGATCATGTGTGGAGATGGGAGAAATGTGCAGAAGGACAGCTATCACTGCAACAGTCTACTGATCTGGCCTTTATATATAGGCCAAGTCACACTGCACTGACAGACACAAACATCAGCAACAGACATGTTTGTCAGATTTTGGCGAATCAGTGTGTTAGCCTGTTTGCGTCTTTTACTATTGGTCGTTATTTGTTTTTGCTGATTGAAGTTGAATCGGTGTTTGTCATGTATTGGAATGTCTGAGAAGTGACATACTGTAATCTGGTGACTGTCGGCATTGATCAGTGTCTGTCGGTGTGGTGTGAATTAGCCATATGACAGAATCTCCCAACAGAAGCCTCTTCTCAGTGAAGATGCATGAAAGTCTGCTTGATAAAAAAAAAAAAAAGCACATGAACACTCCAACTATGACTACAAGACTCTGGTCTGATGAACCTCACTTCCAAGGTCTTGTCTGCCCCACTGCATGTGCAATATCATCAAAACAGTGAAGTATGGTGGTGTAGCATCGTGCTGTGGGGTAGAAGAAAAGTCGAAGAGCAAAATACAGAGATATCCTTAATAAAAACTTTGCCCAGAACACTCAGGACTTCAGGCTGGGAGAAACATCAACATTCATCTTCCAGCAGGACAATGACCATTAGCACACAGTGTTGGGGAGTAGCTAGCTACAAGTAGCGACGCTACTAAGGTAACTACATTTTTCAGTAGCTTGACAGTAGCTCAGCTACTTTTAAAACAATGTAGCTTTTCCAGTAGCTAACTACTTTTATGCAAACAGCGGTGTAGCACGACAATATCTACATTCTATTTTGTGAACCTGCAATAGACTGAAGCAGCGCAGCGTCTTCTTACAAGATCACATACTAAAATAGTGTATTACCACCATCTATTGGTACTGTTGTTATAACTCGCAAGTAAAAATCCACTGCTATGATTGGCTAACAGTTTCGCTTATTAAAATAACAGCTGGACGCTGCTGTGACGTACTCTGAAAACAACAAGGGTCATTTGGGTTAAAAACGTACAAATAATCATTTTATATCAAACGGTCTGGAACAGACAATGCAATAGTGGTAAAAAGCACGTTTACTCACACTTCTGTGTTGCGACAGTGTTGTATCCACTAAAACTGACATTTCTTGAAAACTTATCCCTCAATTCTGATTGGTTGATTGGAATGTTGTTCCGGGATCAACAAGGATGTTGATCCAGGAACATGTTGTACTTGGTGAAATGATGTTCACTACTCAGACTGCATCATCACTTACTTAAGTTAAGTTAAGTTAACAACTTTATTAATCCCACAAGGGGCAATTAAAGTAGGGTAGTAGCATCACACAACAGCTTAATACAAACAAGATATTACCTAGACAATACAAAGAAATAAATAAGTAAAAACACAACCCAACATGCTTCATAATAAATTCCATACATAACAACAACAACAAAAAAAAAAAAAAAAGCATGAAGCAAAGATGTCGGTTTGCATTTGTACTTAAACCAAGCAAACAAAACAAAACACACCGAAATAAAACACACAAAAACAAAACAAAACAAAATAAAATATTAACTTACATTTTTTAACCAAGGTAATGTAGATTAAGGTAAATAAGATGGTTTGGCAGTCTTAAAATAAAATAAAATAGAATAAAATAAAATATTAAAGTAACATTTTAACCAAGGTAATGTGACAGTAAATTCGATGGTTTGGCAGTCTTAAAATAAAATAAAATAAAATATTAAAAGTAACATTTTTAACCAAGGTAATGTGACAG